GAATATAAAAAGAATTAGAGTTAACCGTTCGAATCAGCCTATTGTTATGTTGCATCTGTGTCGTTTTTATTTTATTTCAATGGAGATATATGGAACACAAACAAAATATCAAAACAATTTACTGTTTCTTGCTTTTGGTTACTGATTCATTTAAGATATGGGCTTAGTCACTGCTGGCACATGGCCCATGCTCGAAAATAGAGGTGTGTTTTTACTAAAATAACGGCATAAACCGTCTCTCCAAATAAGGTGTGCTTGACGCGAGTTTGAGGTGCGAAGTTAACATGAAAAGCGCAACTCATCTCATCGTCCTGGCCCGTGCTGCACAAGATAGTTCGTTCTCCTCGACACCGCCTTGACTTTTATAGGATGTACTTTGATATTCCGTGACTTTAACAAATATCATTCCCGACGTCGGGATTAGGAAAATGGTTAAATCACGGGATCAAAACCCCAGTTGGAATAGCTAAAAAAACTCAATGTTCTGCCAATAAACACAAAAAACCCCAGTTGGAATAGCTAAGAAAACTCAATGTTCTGCCAATAAACTGGGTCGTTGAAAAATCGTCTTGGGTCGCTTGTTTTCTGAAGTATTTTATTTATCCCTTTTTATAGTATTTTTTTTTCATTTGGTATTGAAGTGTTGTCCAATTGTATTACGTGGTAAGTTTCATTGGCTCAAGTGAGGCAACGCTACGAATTCATAAACTTGCAGATAGCAAGTCAGCGAGACTTCTTCACTTCGAAGTAATTTATGATAAAATATGTTAACAATAATTTTGTATTAATAATTTAATTTTGGGGCCATAAAAGAGCTACATGCCCTTCAGTATTTGAGTCGATTGAAAAAAGTTTGAAAACCACTGGTTTAGTGTACGCTAAAATTGTTCTGCGGGCCACACGAAATGTGTGCGGCACGCGTGCTATGGTTTGGACCACCCTGGGTTACGGCTCAAAGTGGATGTGACCCGCTGCGGCATGCGCCCAAGATCGCTCCCCGTTGTTTCAAGTGACGCCTTAACACACAAAGCGTGGCACCCAACGGTTAGAAAATATGGGTGAACCGGCACATGTGTTTCTACGGCACGCGTTTTAAACATTATCAGAGGTTTCTCAATCTACTGTGGGTTCATTGTGTTGTTTTGCATGTTTTTGTTTTAGGGAAATAAAAATATACTTATAAGGATCGTCACTATCTTGGGGAGCACTGGGTGCGAGGAATGTTCTCGCCGCATTTTGACTAAAATATTTAACCACCGACACTGATACATACCTTTCAGCCATCTGGTGTTGGGAGCGAGGTGGCAGAATTCCTCCTGCTTTTTACCATTGCTAGATTTGTATGAGAGTGATCGAGCAGTTGCTACTGAGAAGGTTACACCACAGAGATCATATCAAATGTTGACCCTCTATAAGTCTATAGTTACACACAGCTGACAATATCCTTGTATATATCGCCATTTCGGGACCCTTTTTCCGATTACTTCAACAAGCCCAAAGCTTTTTACGAAGACAAAATGACTACTGGTTTATAGTGGACTTGCACGGGTCACGTGACTTTGTTACTGGACGGCAATAAAACAAAAACGTCCATTTGGCTCCTGTCAGTTGCAAGTCGGATTATACGTTTCCGTTTTGTTTGGCTGTTGAAAATGGTTATTTCGTATTGTTCAACGAAATGGATCTTCAGTTATATTCCACTGATTTCAAAACATCCGGAACGTCGCGCAATGTGGATTAGAGATGTACCGATGTATCGGTATCGGCAATATCGGTCATTTTTCCGGTATCGGCCATGTATCGGTATCGGTTAAATTAAGGCCGATATTTCCGATATATTTATCTTTTTGATATGGTCCAGAATGTTTTAAAAGATAAGTTGGAATACTACTTTTTAATTTATATTTTGTCTGGAGAGATCGTGAGCTATGAGCCATACATGTCCCCACCTCCGCGAGAGAATAGGATTCACGTGTTTTTAGCTATTCATCAGCCAAACTAGCTCAACTAATTTGGCTATTTTTGCTGTCAAATTTTAATATTGACATTTTTAATATTACATAGTAATTAATAATTATGAAGAAATATATCAATACAGCACATAACAAAAAGCAACTAGGCGCCCAGTTTCAAATCATACAGTGGAATTGGGGTCATTATTAACGGCACATGGACTTTTGTCACGGGTATAAATTCTGACTGTTTGTCGTCAAGTACGAGTGTCATTTAGTCCGTCAACATCGATAAACTAAATTCCGAAATTCAAAATATATGATAGCAATTGTAAAATATTTTATATTATAAAATAGTAAAGTAAAAAAACATCCTCGACGGTTATAGGTAGGCCTTCTTTTTGTCGGTGCTGATAGATACTCTTTCATTTTGGCTTTGACTTATTGCGTCGACGATTACGATTAGCCACAAAATAAAATATTTGTAAAATGTTTTTATTTGAACGTAGGACGGCGGCGCTAGAATGTGTGGGTGATATTCGATATTCTTTTAAACACGAATAACGATATTCGAAGGTCGCGATATTCATATTAGGTTCAAATTGGACATTGGGCTTTATGAGTTTTCTAATTGAACACCGAGATTACTAGCGTTACTGTACAATGTATTTTAACCAGTTGAAGCAAACACCAAACATTAATTTCATATTATGTGATATATCTTTTTTTTTTCGATCTGAAATAATGTGTACTATGAACGCTCAAAGACCATTGTTTTAACCCGTCTGCCCTACACAGCACACCTAATAAAGTAATAATTACATAGTATCGGTATCGGAATATCGGCGACAAAAGTGGTATCGGATGTCGTAATCGACCAGCGGTCGTGTGAACCACCCTCAGTGGGAGGAGAGCTGCAATCCCCTCACACATAACTATCCCCGCGTGGGATTGGAACCTGTGAAACTCCCAGGGGGATCAGAGATGCGGTGGCGAGCGTATTCTTAGATGGAGAATTCAATTGAATTCTGGTTATTTTTTGCATTAGCACTGGCGTTAAACTTTAGTTATCTATTCAACTTTTCACACTTACTAATAGATTACCTGCTAACTAGGGAAACAATACCTTATGGCAATTATTGATCAATACCTTACACGAGTCAAGTCTGCAAGTAGGTCTACGCCTAGGCCTACCAATAACAGTAGTTTGTCATCTGCTTTCCATTGAAATGAAGGAGCTTATGAATATTTAAAACAATTGATAACGGCACATTATGACTCACCATCAACGAAGTGCTGTCCGCAAACAGTGAAACACAAGTGAGATGGCTTCTGGACTTGACACCAAGCAGTCCTGTCAATAGATGATATCCACATTGCGCGACGTTCCGGATCTTTTGAAAATAGTGGAATATAACTGAAGATCCATTTCGTTGTCTATTTCTATACTATACGTACAGCCAGCGGAACAATACGAAATAAACATTTTCAACAGCCAAACAAAACGGAAACGTATAATCCGACTTGCAACTAACAGGAGCCAAATGGACGTTTTTGTTTTATTGCCGTCCAGTAAACAAGGTCACGTGACCCGTGCAAGTCCTCTATATAATTTACACCTCAATGTTGAAAATATGACGAAAAAATGAAATTGCGTAAATTAGGTTTTTAGCATCACATGCGCGTAGAAATTATTTTCCAGGTGGCAACGGCACAATCGCAAGGTCTTCGCTATGGATGTTTTTCCAAGCATCAATTTTTTCTTGTTTATTTCCGTAACAATTACAAATCAGCAATAGGTCAAATAAATCAACAATGACGTTACAATTGAAATTTATGCCGCCGCTCAGACACTTTTTTTCGCTCAGACAGATGTTCAAGCGTGGTTGTAAACATTGCCTTCTTTTTGGTAGTTTTGCGTGTTATTCGTCAGTTTTTAGTTGTGTTTCCCAAAAATAGTGTTAAATCAAATACCCTAATTATCATTATGTTTTCTGACGGTCTTTTAGTTTATTTACAATAATCCAAAACTGCAAACAAATCCACCGCAAACGATGCGATAGTAAACGAGCCTAGAATTAGTTACCAGTTAGTTATTTTGAATAAAAATGATAGTTTCTAACTTGTGAACCAGTTTGTAAGCGCCAACTCTCTAAAACACTGTCAAAATCAACGTTGAAAATTTTGCAATCATAAAGTATGGGGAAAAATCTTCCAGGGGTCAAGGGTCAGGAAAACGTCCATGCCACAAATTATCGGTTTGCGACTGTGATAGGATTTACGCATTTATCACTGGGGAGAGGATAGGATTTACATATTTATCCCAGGGGAAAGGGAAGCCGATAAGACGGCTTATCCATATGGCGAACCACGGCCTCTCGTCCGGTTACCACTCCAAGTCGGGTATGGGATTAGTTTTTACTGTATTGTTTGTTTTCGGAAGCATGGACTTGGTGGTAGAGGAAGCCGTAACCGACCAGCGGTTACGTGAACCACCCAACGACGGCGAGGAGTCCAGCAATCCTCTCGCACATACCGTAACCATCCCTGCATGGGATTCGAACCTGCGAACCCACGCAGAGTAATTAGAGGTGCGGTGGCGAGAGCAAAATTAGTCATGTGGCGAACAACGGCCTCTCGCTCTCGTTGTGGTTAGAGGTTTCCAGTCCATGCCGGGTACCGGTACGTGATTAGTCAGCCTGGTACTTTTTCCACATGCATGGACTTGATAGTGGAGGAAGCCTTAACCGGCAATATGTAAATTCTATCGTTCAGAATATCCGTATGCTGGTACAGTGCACACTCATGATAGTGGTACCGGTATGTCATTTAAAGAATTGCAGGTACCTACCGGTATGGTACTGTTTTCCTCGTTAACACACGAATTCAAAAGTATTTCACTTAAAAGAATTGCCAAATGATATATATTTTCATTATGGTTTGCTTAGAACAAGAGAGAATAAATCTGTTTTTTTTAAGTCTTTTGGTTCAAACGTCCTTTTGACTCTTCTCATAATTATGTCTTGTGCGTTGTATTTTTTGTACCACAGAGGAGTGCAATATAAATGATCTTAGTCGATCCAAGGCCTCACCACCTTCTTCATCACTACATTAAATCTTAGTACCAAGTCTGCATGATAATATTTATGATTCTTCAGCAGCCTAGTGCTATATCTGACAACAACGCACTTTATAATTTTAATATGCTTCCGACTCCAGAAGATACTAACCACAACATGTAAATATCAAATTATACTGTTGCTAAAGCGTAACTTGTTCTGGAATGTACGTTAAACATCTAGCTCATTCAACAATAAAGCCTCTTGTCTTAAAAAATTATGCAATGGGCTTGTACCACTTATGGCACAGAGCATATCATGTCACGGTTATCAGGGGTGTAGAAATGGTCGGGGCACCTGACAAGCTTTCAAAAATCCGGCCATACAAATGCACAACAGCACCTGAAGCAACCCAACTAGAAAAACGGCTCAACATGCTGAAAACAGAAACCCAACAATGGCATCATAATTTCTGGAGCAAACACAATGAGCGATTTAATCAAGGGAAAGAAGAATATATCAAAAATCATAAGAAATATTTATCATCTATGAATATAGGAGATGCGAAACAAACTTTAAATGCAGAAGACATGGCAATGTTTCATAAAATGTTTTTGAAACAAAATCACTCTCTGAACACTCAGTATGACAGGTGAGTACTATTGGTCTACTTAGTACAAATAGCGAAACTAACAGTACAAATAGCGAAACAAACAAACAGCGAAATAACATTGAAATATTTTTACAGGGAATGGAGATACAGAAATAGAAAAATCCTTCTTTTGATGCTAAAAGTTGAATTGCAAAAACAGTTTCACAAATTGAGAAAAAAATTCCTCTGACCCCATCACATCATCGCATGTCTAACTGATGACTGCGTTCAAGATTTAACTAAAAATTGGGTGGAGATTCTGGTATAATTGGAATTTGAATGAGCTTTTTGAAATATAGCATATTGCTGCATTGATAATAAAATTTTTTCAACTTTTCATAAAGATACGTAAAACGATCGCGATGCCCTATAAGTGTATCTGGCGGCAGACATGCATGAAGTTTCAACAGAAGTTTCACTGAATAGTCATACATCTGACTAGAATCCGAAATTATAGGAATACAAGCTGCAAGTCTGCACTGGCCTGCAGCAGTCATTGATATTGCTTTTGAGAAATCAAGCGTGCGAAATATTGCTTCTTGTAGATCCATTTGTGAATCCAAGCAGTCAAGAATGTCTACACATAATTCCAAAGATGTATTCATATCATTGTTACCTATTTTTTCTAGCGTATCATCTGAAATAGAAAAATTCCCGGGAAACTCTGAATACTTGACTTGGAATTCCATTCTTTGTACCAAACATTTGGAGTATTTTGAAATTATTGTACCATATGCATGGACAGCGACAAAACTTCCAGCAAGTTATCACATGAGTGGAAAGCTGTAATCGACGTACAACATGCCAAAAAGTGTACGCACCCTTCCCTTGATAAGTCCCCAATATTGCATTTCGAACATGCTTTTCTTTTGCTGGTACTTCATGCTGATTAATAGCTTTCTGTATACTTGTGGTTTGTACTTTTTCAAAGGTTTCTTTGTCAACCTCCAATGAAGCCGGCACTCCTCGTTTCATATCTAAGGTAGTCTAAGCAAGTTGTCGCCCATACAGTCTGGTACCGTAAACAAAGCTGGTGTTCGGATAGGGAAACCGGTACAGGAACGACATAATCGAAATTAATTCCCACGCAGAACAAGAGCACGACAGAAACCATAGTTACCTCGTTCCGGCTGACTGGCGCTGTACGATGACAACTTTTTTCGCTTTCCGCGAGGATTGAAATATTTCTAGCGACTTGTTTACTTCGTGACATTGGCCAATCAGCAAGATTCAAAAAGTGACGTAACAATGCTCTCTTTTCGCATCCGCTCATACACTTTCCTCACTCAGACAGATTTTCAAGCATGGTCGTAAACATTACCTCGTTTTTTAACTCTATTCTCTAGTTTTCAGTTGTGCTTCGGAAACTTAAATATAAATCAGATATTTCAATGATCACTCTGTCTTCCTGTGAGTTTTGCTTTAATTGCCGTAATAAAAAAATTGTGTAGAAATAGCTGTGATAGACTAGGGTAAAATTCTTTACTGGTACTTTTAAAAAACAGACTGTTGTATGCAGTGGGAAAAATCTGATATTTAGTGAAAGCAATACTTTTAGGTCGTATATGATAAATTTCTGAAAATTTTCGACACTCCGACTCCCTGGGGGGATTTACCGGATGTTGCACTAGTGCAACTTGTGCCCGGAAAGGACTAATTGTAAGATATCACATGTATGTTTTTTTAATCTGCAATACTTTGTAACATGGCCAGTATATATACTACGATGGTTAAAAATATTAATGGGAGTGTCAAACTTATTTCATGGCTCAATTCAAAACTCCAATTATGCATAAAAGGCGCCTTAAAATGTAAACAAATGTTAATATAGATCATGTTTTTGCCCTCTAGGTAGTTTTGCAAGTCAAAATATTTAGAAAATGCATATGAGTTGTCCCTTGACACTTTCGTTTACCTATTTCTGTAAAATTATTTTGAAACTTTGAATTTCCATATATAATAAAATGCCAGAATATAGAAAATCTAGCTTTTACATCAAAATAATTTTGCATTTACCTACTGTTACGTATTTTATCAGATAACGACTTTTTAGCGTGAAAGTCATTTTAATTACGCTACGATGCGAAAAAATTGGAAACCAAGTTTTTTGGTAGCAGAAAAATCTTTGGCAATTTGTGTGTTTATTTACATTTTTACGATTTGATATTTTTTGGACTGTATGTCTTCTCTTTTCACTTAGACTTTCGTTTGAACTTATCGATCGACTTTGCCCCCACTCTGGAAGACGCTATAAAAAACACGGCCAGCGATAGTTTTCTGCAGCATTGGTGTTCGGGCAAATTCCATTTTTGTGTATACATTTATTGTTTTGCTCCACAATTAGTATAGATTGGTTTATGAGTGGATTGCAATATCTTTATGGTGTTGTCAAAAATTCGGAGCAAGAGAAAAACTTTGCTCCCTCGAACGTTGAATTAGGTTTCTGTTTGTCTGGGTGAACGGCGCCGCCCTCGGACTTTCAAAACACGACTAAGTTTCAACTTTGGATTTGTTTTTAAATTGCTATTGTCTGTCCATATAAATTCCAACCGGAAAAATGCTGAAATGGTCTGATTTTTTAGGCTCAAAATCTTAGCTACATAAATATCGTTCTGGAAATTACGTGTTTTATCAAGATCAGCCTCATCATATTCATAATTGTAAGTCTCAATTGCCTCTTTATCTGAAAGTGTGACATTAGAAATATGCGCTAATTCAACGCAATTTCACCCGTCGGCATATTCACAATCGTTCTGCTAGATCGCTGAGAATACAAATAGAAAATCTGAATCAATCTGAGACACTTCTCTATTATTTTAACCCCGTATTTATGGCTAAAATACTTGGATTTTATTTGGTTTCAAATCTGAAACATAGCACTCGTGCATATTTTATTTCACGCTTTCTAAATCTTCTGTTTACAACAAAATTATCTGAAGCCAAATTTTCCCCTAATCAGCAAATTCTCATAATACTGCATTCTAATAAACCTGATTCTAACTTATATGACATAGGAAACTCATAAATTACGTTATCTGCTCAATAAGCCAACATAAATGACAAAACTAAACAGACGAATATTAGCTAATTTAACAACCGAAATCCACTTCGGAGGGAAGATGTTGCACCTATGCAACATCAATTTTAAACCACCCCCTCGTGAAACCACATAAATCGTTCGAGGTTGCAATCAGTTTGTAAAGCTTGTGTATACACTATTCTTTTGCCCCGTGCAGTGATATGACGAATTCGGTGTATAAGAATTGGTATAGTTGCTTAAAATTTGACCATGGTTCATCAGCCTGACACGAGCACTGGATACCGCATCTTGCAAGAGACGCTTGCAGCGTCATCAGGCGGCGGCAATGCAAAATAGCAGTTGCATCTAACCAACTAAGTACCGCAGTAGTACGCTGAGTAGAAAAAAGCATTCTAGGGCAGAAAATGTGGGTGATAGCTAGTTTACAATATGTTGTTGCATACGTGTTACGCATTCCCGGAGAGGGTTAAAGTAGGCTATAGGAAGAATTTTTTGGGAGTCAAAGGTCCATTGAAATATTTATTTCTAGGTTTGGTTTTTATCAACGACTAACATACCGGTTTTATGTTTTCGATTCTGGAAAAGTAAGGAGGACCGGTGCAGTAAGTTTCAGTGTTGGACGCACAGTACAAGCAATTTTTCTACCAGAATATCATTATCCGTTAATTATTGTCAATCTGCGTTTACGGATAAATTCTATCAGAAGTTCATTAGTTTATTTTTTAACATTTACGGTAAATGACACTTTTGCAAACAGAAATTGAGTTTTTTTTTAGTTTTTCCCGGAGGGCTATCTAGGATTTATATCTGCCAAACTACAATATTGATGCTAATAGTATGGTAATTTAGACTCTCTGCCTGTTATCATCAAAAAGGTATAATGCAAGGATTTCTGTCTGAGTTTAGAAATTTGATTATGCTCACTAACACGCTATACAGGTGGCTGAACCTTGAATGCAAAAATCTCTCTGCTCTGCATGAATTACATTGCATAATTCTATTATCTGTATTTTCATTTTGGTATTTACAAAATTAATTATTCTTTTCTTGCATGCCAGTTTTTTAGTGCTTGATTATCCAGAATTTTTCACCTTCTGTTTCGCCCTTAAAACGAAAATGAACTAAATGGCCACAGAGTGGGCCTTATTTCTGCATTTGGTTTTTGATGTAGGGCATTCATTATTTATTCATTTACATATATTTTAATACAGATGAATAGATATATGCAAATAGGCGAGTGCTCTAATGACTAACTTATGCCCGACTTTGCAGAAGAACTCCATTTCGAGGATATGGAGGGAACTTCTGCTTGTACGGGTACTAGCAGTAGATCTTCCGTAGACAGTGCAGATGCGGTTAGGCTGATTGAAAATGTCAGCAAATCAGTCAAGTTGTCATGCACCTGAGAAAAAGTGGTCAGAGATTGGATGAAGGAATTAACGCATAGGGGAAATTGCGATATCATAATCAGCAAATTCTCTAAATTTTTCTGTTAGGTCAAATCTATTTTAGTGGCGGTGTTTTGACCAATTCTAATGCTGCAGATCTATTGTTCAAGATAATACAACAGGCTATTTTACCTGAAGACCCAGTCGAGCAACTTGTAACTGGTGAGCCCAGTGGAGCTGACGATTCAACACTTGAATATTTGGGAGGATATACCATCAAGCGGGCCCTAACAAAATTTCCGACATCCTATCTCATATGTGGAATGTGTGGTGCAGCCACATATATATAAATATAGAGTGCGCTTCTCTCTCATTTCCGCGGGGTCATTTGCTAACTCTATTGTTTTGACGATATACTTCCAACTTTTCTGAGGCGCATATTGCATTTCTTATGGGATATGAAATAAATCAATTATTTTCGTCGATTTTTTTGCATATTCTCCTGATTGTGATTCGTTTCTAATTAGGTATGAAACGCTAATATATCCCAGCCCATCATACGGTGCATATTGACTGTTTTTTTTAATTCGCGTGAGTGGTGGATTAATAATATGGCCAACGTATAAGCCAAAAGCGACAATAACGACCACATTACGTTAGCCAAGATGGCTAATCGGAATCGCTTTCCCATATACCTGCAATTGGTCATATTTTATCTCCTGACTCTATATTTCGCGTGGTGATCTCAATACCATTGCCTGGCTCTGTGGTACCGAATGACATTAAACAACATGATAGGCAACTCTGACGTCACTCCATAAGGCTACAGGCAAAAGATTGTATTTCATGATACGCTCCAATGCACATATTTTTCGTCGCCTTTCGCGACCGTTTTCCGCTCGCTTTTGCTACTCGGCGTTTTCTTTACGTGTAGTACCTGCCTTTTTGCGCCTGTAACAAAAGAAAATAATCCTTATATCTAAGAAGTTTTGCTCACTTGGAAAGCTGGAATTGCAGACAAGCTGCGAAGAGTAATTCTGCACATCATAGACGTTTTTTTTTATCAGAGAAGATTACAAACGCGATAGCGTAAAGATATGTTTGGAACATTTTGCAGATAATAACAAAGTTCAAAGTTAATAATTTTAATGTTTGCGCTTGAACATTGAAATTTCATTTAAAGAGCATACAAAACATACAAAACAGCATACAAAACAGCAAAACTGTTTTTACTTCTTTTTACGGTGC